TAGCACACATCATAGAGGTAGACTTTGAGAGCATGATTTCTTGTTTTTGAGACAGAACTGGTGTTTTCCGAAGCAGAGGAAGGGAAAGACTTTTTCTTGACTTCTGTAGGTTTTGCAGCTTTCCAGTGATGTTTGCTCGTTTCTTGGTCTGCAAAGCAGATACGATCTGATGGTGCATAGTGTATTCCTTTGGGTAAAACTAATAAATGATAAATATTCTCAGTGCTCCCATCTATATTCAAAGGCAGCAGCAGTGGTGACGAAGAGGCAGCACCCTGGGCTCCCAAATATCCTGGGGGATGTCATCGCCCTGCCTCTGCGTTGGCTGGGATGAAAGGCTTGCAGTGCTTTCGCACGCGGGTGGCAGCGGCTTGTCGTGGTAATGTCAGCGTTTGAATCCAAACCTGAGCTGACTGTACAAATTCATTCATTCCAAGTACAAGGAGAGACAATAATGGGATTCCCCTTCTTGGTGCGGGTGACCCAGATAGCAACAGAGTATTGCGTATTTCAGATGCTAACAAGAGTCAGTAAAATGCAGCAGCAAATTCCATGAAAAATAGAAAGCGACAGTGATCTTGATAGGTTTGAGGTGTGGAGACAGGGGGTGTTGAAAAAAGGCTGATTTTTCACTGAAAACATCTCCTCATGAAAAATGTGAACCATCTGTGTCTTACCGTACTATTAAAATAGGCTTCATGAAGTCTGAGATCCTGATGTCAGGCCTGTCAGTCCTCTTGTTTCAGTACTTTGCAGTTGTCCCGTGTGTACCTGGAGCTCATGCTTTGCATGTTGGCCCTCGGCAGACGATGTGCTTGGCATGTCGTGGCCGTTACGCTGCACAGGAGCTTCAGTTTGTTGCCACCCTTTGATTTTTTGAAAGCTTCGGAATCAAGAACTAAGCAAATGCATTGTCCTTAGGCAGCAAAACTCATTCTTCATGGTTTCTCTGCTCTGCTCGAAGTATTAGGAAAACAAACACGAGAACCCATATTTTGGGGATTTTTGCCAAAAGAGCTTAGCATCGACTGTGTAAAGTTGCTCCGTTAAGATGCGTGAATGACTGCTGCTGTCAGTGGGAGCTGGAGAGCACTGATGACTTGTTAAAATCCCTTCTCGTGTTTCCCAGTGCAGTGAACAGCTGAGCTTCCTCACTTCTGTCAGTTACTGGAGGAAAAAAAATGCCGTTTGTTCCTGAAGAAACACCGCGCTGGGGTTATTCTTCAGCAGTCTGAGCTGGTATATGCATTAAGCCCCCGTTGCTTTGCTTTTGTTGATGCTTTGGGTAGTCTCACCCATCCACACTGTCGGCAAGTCAAGGTACCCAACTTAAGGATGACGTGGTGGTGGGCTTGTCCTTGAGCAAGGAGGAAGGTGGCTGTGAGTATTTGAGTGGCCAAATATATAGTGGCATCAAGAGGACTGAATCCTTCCTGCTGGGACCTCCACCTGTCCTTCTCTCCTGAGCAGATTGCAATAAATCCAACCATGCTTATGTGATGGAATTTCACATTTCCTGAATTTTCTCCCCCATTTTCTTCCCTCCAAAACACAGGGTAGAAGGGGATGAGGACATCACTGCCCTGTGGTATGTGACACACACCAAAATGAGCATTAACACAACTTGGTGATGCAGAGGGGTCGGTGTTCAGCCAGCAAAGGCAGAATGAGATCCTCAGCTTGATGTCAATGCTGCATTGTCTTTGAAACGGAAGGAACCTCTTCTGTGCATGTGGGTTGAGCTGCCTTAAAAGTAGAGAAAACAGCATCCTTCCCATCGCTTCACCAAAATGCCCTTGAATGCCCACGGCTGCGCTGAGATGCACGTTAATTTGAGATGCACCTTAATTGTGCCATTAATCTGTGGCAGTTCATTTACCTGGTATCCTGCAATGTGTGGGTGTCTCAAGGCAGCGAATTTCTGTAGGGGACACACCGCAGGGTCACTGGCTTTTCTCTCTCTGTCTCTCTCATCCTCATGTTTCAGTGGTCTAATCTGTATGTTTTGCCGTATTAGTTTCAGTTTTTCTCACTTCTGCCTCTCAAACCTTGACCCTGATCCTGGCGAGTTAACTGTAATTTTTAAAACCTTTCTAAGCTTCTACTGCTGTATTTCAGCCTCTCTATTACACAAGGGAAAAATAATCAGAAAATGAGTTACGGATCATGAACCTTTTAATAACTCTGACATGAAAATCAAAGCTTCTGTTTGCTGTGCATGTTGACAGAAGGAAAAGCTGATATTTCGCTTCCTCATCCTATTGGGCCTCGTAAAGTATTTCCAGAA